GAGTCCTGAACCACAAGCTACCACCTCAAGCCCTGTCATGGGCACTGCTGATGTCCAAGATGACACCATACCACCCACTTTTCTTCTCCCTAGTGGATGATGCAGAGCAGGTTGTGAGATCAAGTAGATCTTCCCACTCATCCCCTGTGGTGCCTCCAAGTCTGTTAAAATTCTATTTTGCTACCTGGAATTCCACCCCTCACACCCCCCTCCAAAAAAAATTATTGCATACTTAGTGTGGAAATTTTAGAATAAAAATATCCACCCACTAAAGATAATCATTATTAATATCATGGCATATTTCTTAAGGTAAGTACATTTTACCATAGTTGAGAACATAAAACACACACGATTTTGTATCTTGCATTGTGTGTTTTGCTTGTCATTATCATAAGCAATTTCCATGTCACTAAAAATTATTGATTAGATATTACTTTCAGTAGTTCCATAATATTCCATTATAAGGATGAACCATAACTTTCCTAACCAATTCCTTTTTGTTGGATGGTTAGTTTTTTCCCAGTTTTCCAGTGTTACAAAAAGTACTACAGGGACCATATCTGTAGACTTTGGATTGCTTCCTTTGCAGTCTAAATTCTTTCAGGTTTTAGCTCAAGTAATAGGTGGAAAACCATTGTATGTGTTATACATACACAACTTGGTTTCTGGAATGGGAGAGTATGGGGAGATCAACTGTGGGACCTGGGTTACAAGAGGCCCTGGGGAGGGTAGTTGAGAACCCTGAAGGATATTGGAGGGAAATTCTTTTCTGCACCAGCTCTAGGGAGAGGTGCTCAGCAGCTTGAGCATGAGGGACCATGGTGGGTCCAACTGCTAGGTCCCTTTGAGGGTCAGGCCAACCCTTTTACTTGGAAGAGTTTGGGCTCATGTCTCATGAACTGATGGCTGCACTGCCAGGCCACACTTCTTGGGTGTTATTTTTTTTTAAGTCTCTTTTGTTCAGGGTTTACCCATACCTGAACATTCCAAAAGATTGAAGTGTAATTAACATACCACAAAATGTATTCTTTTAAAGTGTTCAATTCAGTGGTTTTAATATAATCACAAAGTTGTGCAACCATCACCACTATCTAATCCCGGAACATTTCTATCACCACCAAAAGAAACTCATACCCCTTAGCTGTCACTCTCCCATTGTCCCCTCCTCCTAACCCCTAACAACAACTAATTTATTTTCCTTCTCTATGGATTTGCTTATTCTAGACTTTATATAAGTGGAATCTATAATATGTAGCCTTTTGTTTCTGGTTTCTTTTACTTAGCATGTTGTTTTCAAGGTTCATCTCTGCTATGGCATGTATCAATACTTATTTTTTTATGGCTAAATATTTCACTGCACAGATATACCACACTTGTTTATCCATTCTTCATTGATGCACATTTTGATGGTTTCACTTTTTGGCTATTGTGAATAATGCTGCTATGAACATTTGTGTCCAAGTTATTGTGTAGATATATATTTTCAGTTCTCTGGAACTGCTGTTTAACTCCATGCTTAATTTAGTAAAGAATTGCCAAACTGTTTCCCAAAGAGAAACATATTTTTCATTCCTTTGTAACAATTGAGATAAGACCATTATTACCCACATGTATAAAGCTTTCAATGTCTCCACATCTTCAACACTTATTTGTCTATCTTTTTAAATATACATTCAAATCCTTTGCCTGTTCAAATTTTTGGTTATTTGTCTTCTTATGTTGAATTATAAGAGTTCTTTACAGTGACCAGAGGGGAGAGGGGAGGGAATTTCAGGAGAGAATGGGAAGGGTTTAGAGGAACAAATATAAAGGACACATGAACAAAAACTGGGGGGGGTGGACATGGGAGGGGGGTAAGGAGGGAGGGGTAGGTGGGCTGGGATGGGAGTAAAGGGCAGAAAACTGTACTTGAACAATGATTAAAATAAAAAAATAAAAAAAGAGTTCTTTAGATATTCTGGATGTAAGATTTTCAAATATTTTTTCCCATTCTGTGGGTTGTCTTATCACTTTCTTGGTGGCATCCCTTGAGACACAAGCATATTAAATTTTGATGAAGTTTGACTTATCATTTTTTCTTGTTTGTGCTTTTGATGTCCTGTCTAATCCAAGATCATAAAAATTTACTTTTGTTTTCTTCAAAGAGTTTCATAATCTTAGCACTTACAGTTAAGTGTCTGATTCATTTTGAGTTAATTTTATATATGGTATGAGGTACAGGTCCAAAGTCATTCTTTTGTGTGTAGGTACCCAAATATCCAGTTATCCCAACATCATTTGTTGAAAACACTTCTTTTCTCATTGGGTTGTTTTGGCTCCGTGCTGAAAACCAATTACATATAAATATATGAACATATTTCTGAACTCTCAATATATTTCTAGCCTATGCCAGTACCACACTGTCTCAATTAGTGTAGATTTGTCATATATGTTTAAATTGGAAAGTCTGTGTCTTCCACTATTGGTCTTTTTCAAGATTGTTTTGGTTATTTTGGGTCACTGGCATTTCAATATGAATTTAGGAACTGTTTGACAATTCATGCACAAAAGGAAGCTGAGATTTTGATAGGGATTGTGTTGAACATGTAGGCCAATTTGGGAAGTATTGCCATCTTAACATTACTTAGTCTTCCACAATGTTATTCCTAAAAAGAAAACAAATCACAAACCTCAACAGTTACTCATTTCACATAACCAACAATTATTAAGTTTTCCTGCAATGTGGATAGCTCCTACTATTTCTTGTAACTAGTTTTTTAAAATAAAATGCTTTGCAAATGATTTCTCTTCTGTCACCATGAAAACTCAAGTATGTATATTTCCTTATTAGACTATCATGATTCTGTTTTAGTAAAGTTATTAGGGGTACATACTATGTAAATTTACCTAAAAGATGGAAAAACAGGACAAAAAACAAACTATTGTCCATCTTGCCACCAAAGAAGAGCTGAATGGGTCTATGAAAAAAATGAGAGGTTCTTTCAGTTCTCACACTACTATGCTCTCCCAGAGTGTTAGCAAGAGCTGATTTCCCATCCTAACTGCTCTCCATTTCTGACTTCTTTTGCATGCCAATTTTTGAAAACGGTACATAATTTCTCTGAATTGGTTTTCTCTTCTTTATAAGAGTGATGTGATCCAGGTGCCCTGGTGATCTCATGGGCCTGTGTCTGTAATATGAGTCACACTTAGTTTTAATGACAAATTACAGTTGCCTGAGTCCCCACCCCCCACCCCTTGGTCTGGCTGCTAGAAACTAACACCCTTTAAAGTGTCCCCCAGTTGTTTCTGTGTGTCCCCGGACGGTGCCTCACTCCCCCAGGGCCAGTCTTTCAGCTGCAGTTACCTGCTCCATCACATCTGCCCCTGTTGTCCCTTCTGCACCTGTACTCCATCCCCACCCCACCTCACCTCACTTCTGCGACCCCACCAGGAGACCTCAGTCATTGGACTGCCAAAACCATGCAAGGGTGCTGCTTGAGGATTCATTTAAATCTCTCCCATCCTGTGGGTGCCACAGTAACTCTGTTTCTATATAGACAAAGAGAATGATCTCCACTCTAAATACAGCAAGCCACCCAGTCCCCGAGTTTCTCTGCATCATTCTTGAAAACTCCTCCTGGAAGCCTCAGGTCCCTTTATTCCTCCAAATGGATTGAAACACTTAGAGAAAGAAAAGATAGCATCCCATCCACACCGTTGTCCTCTGCTTTTCAAGATCTCTGCCTCATACCAACCTCCTCCTCTCTCCCAGGTCTCCAAACAGAAGCTTGAATGAATGCAAGAAAAGGAGAAGTAGGGGCCATGTCACTAACAGCAGCTGAGCACCTGCTAAAGCGGCATATGTGAGTTTCTGATGGTTGAAAATGGTACCTATCACCAAGAGGCGTTATGAAGATTAATTGAAGTAATGCAAATGAAAATACATTAAAATAACACAAATAAAAATAAAATAATGGGAAAAATAACCAGGGTTTTAAAATGTAAACGTTGACAAGATCCCTTTTCTCGTTGAAGGTACATTTTCCAAATACATTTTCACTGCCCCGGTGGAAATTTGTCTAGGCTGTGATTCCAGGAAAGACTCCTGGGGTTTCCTCCCCCTGCCACTCCCCCTCTCCCTGCCACCCCCTCCCCGAGCCCATTTCTGTGGACTTTTATAGCTCCATCGAGTCCAGGGCACAAATCAGACTCACAGTCAGAATTCCTCCCTCCTCTGCTCGCCTGACAGGCACTTTGAGGTTGATGGACTGTGTCACGTGGATGAAACAAGCTTCTAAACATACAGGAGGGCACAGCATCTCCTCCCTACTTTCTGCCCAGAACAGAACAGGAAGCGGGAGAGTGTCCCAGCCCACCCTCCTTCTGCCCACAACGCCTGAGCATTTCAGCACAGGCACTCCCTCTGGCTTAGACCAAAAATAGAAGCTTGTTTCATCCGCCCCGGCACAAGGCCTTTTCCCACGACTCCCCCCCACCCCGCCCCACACACCGCTCCCCGCCCTCAACACCGCTCCCTCCCCGCCCCCGCGAAATCCCCGAGGGCCGTTACCTCCCCTCCTCTACCCAGCAGGCCCGGCCCCTCCCACTTTTCAGCGCAGCTCCTGTGCAGCACTAGAGAGCCCGAGCACTCCTCTTTCCTTTAGCTTTCATTTCCGCACCGGTGCTGCGCCCAGGCATTCTGACAAAGCTGAACCTTTTCCAATCTGGCCTGACGCGGCTCAGCATAATTGCGCTCTGCTGGCCACCTGCGCCCCCAGCGGCAGTCCCGACCCTGCAACAGGTGGGACCCACTGCGAAATCTCCCCCTCAGGAGTTAGGACTCAAATGCCAAACTGGGTTATGTCCAGTAAGGAAGCTGTGAGTCCGCAGCGAGGCAACGTGAATTCTCAGTTCTCGTTTTAGTTTCATTTCAGCGAGCAGTTATTGAATATCTGGTGTGTTCGCGGAAGCGTGACAACTGATTCTAGATGTCTGAATACAGAAGTAGAAGGGCTCTGTGAACCGGTCCCTGAGGACACAAATACCACAAGACCTGGCCCCCAACTCTGATAGTTCACAGTCCATGGGGTAATCAGACTGGAGCAACTGTGACACGTATAACAGTGAGAATGCGTGCAAGGCACAGAAGTAAAAGGGAGTGATTCTTTCAGGAGAGTGTTCAGGGAGGTAATGTGTGACCTGAGTTTTAAAAAATGAATACAAATTTGCCGGGTGGATAAGAGCAAAGAAGAGCATCCTGTTAGAGGAATGTTCTGCAAGTTAGAGTTTGTGAACTTGCAGAAGATGAACTAGAGGGGAATGGACCAAGAAGGAACCAGACGGACATTGATAGTTCTGCTAATCTCCTTCCGCCTCCTTCACAGCCATCTTAAATAAGCAATCAACACAAAAATGGTGAGCTTGCTGGGTGGACTCCAAGACAAGTCTGTACCCAATCCCCAAGCCCCTCTAATCCTGTGTATTAACTGGAGCTGCCACTGGGGGGTGTGGGGCTTCGGGGACAAAGGGATTAATAAGTAGTCTAGAAGGCTGGGACAGAAACAAGAATACCCTGGGTAAAATCATAAACGGTGTCGAATGTCATGCTAAAAGGCTTAACCTTAAACGTTATCGTGTAGAGCATGCAAGCTGGTGGCCGTGAGATTAAAAAAAAAAATCTTAGGGACTTGCCTTACAAAGTTTTAAAAGTCAGCACCTTCCTAGCATCTCTTGGGAGAATCATAAGATGTGATATACTGGATTCATGATCCTCCAATGAGCTGGCGCTGGGTTACAACCTCCTCCTCTAAACCAGGCAAGAGCTCTAGGTTTTTCTCAGTCTCCCGACTCTCTTTCATCTCCTGGAACCTTTCTGGTCTCTGCCCGCATTTCAGCACTCCCCCCGCAGGTAACCAGGAGCCACTGGTTTTTGGTAGGAGAATGCCCAATGGTAGAGAATTTGGATTGATAAAACTGTCAGGTGATTGGATTTGAGAGGAGGGCATCTCTTTTCTCTGAGAGATGGAGCTGGGTTGTGGCCTAAGAAGAACACCAAATCCCAGACCTTGATTTTATGACCTTAGAGGGCCCTTTGTGTTCATCCCCTGTAGAACTGTGCCATATTCTTTTATGTCCAACAAACACCTATTCAGTGGAAGAAAAAATAGAGAATTGTAGGGGGATGTGTGGTAGAGGGAATAAAAAAGTAGGCACTGTAGCTGACCCCAGAGCTGGATGTAAACTACTGCAAATCCCTGTCCATATTATAATAACAGCTTATGGAGAAATGAAAAAGAGAAACCCTGAATTCCATTCCTACCTCCAACAGCTGCTCCCCTCCATTGCTGATGACCCACCAGAGTTGCTCTTGGTCTCCATTTCTGCAGCAGGATGGAAGAAAGATTATGTAAGGCCAATCAAGTGCCAAACAGGTGACAATTAAGTAGTATTATTCATTGGCAATTTATCTACCAAGCCTTTCTCTTTACTGCTAGAGCTAATTTCATTCACAGGTGCCATGTCATTTACTAATTTAATCATTTCTTTTAGTGCCACTTCTCAACATTGCATTTTTAGTAAAATAATGTTCCCTTGCATGTGTCTCAGTTACAAATGTCAGCAGAGATAGAAATCAAGGTTGAGATTTCCTGCCAGGTATTTGTTCTCCCTGGCTCCGACATGCATGGTTGTTGGCAATCAGTTTTCATGCTCAGCTGTAGTGTGTTGAGTGGCTAGGCAGAGGCTCACTCACTCATTTAGCAAACATTCTCTTCTACCGTGGGTTCTCAGAGAGGCAGATTGTGAGTCAAGGATTTGAGAGCAAGTCCTTTATTGGGCAGCTGAAGAAAATACCAGTTGTGAAGTCAGGAAATAAGACAGAGAAAGGAAGGCACCCAACAAAGTGTCCATTGTCGAATCAGCTGCCCCTGTGGGGGCTTCATCATTCTGGGAAACTTTGGGGTCCAGTGTACAAATGCCCAAAGGGTGAGAAAGCTGGAATATTTGTATACCAACTCCCATCAGTTATCGTTTGAGGACTGCTTCCAGGGAGCATGAATTCTCTGGAACATCTGCCCTGTTGCTGGAATATGCAAAACAGGCTTAAGAGGCCAGAGAAAGAGGTCAGCCAAGGGAATGTAGGTGCTCACAGCTGGAAGTAGGTCCAGTCCCTGCTAAAATGATAAGGACAAGAGGTGGGGCAATGACAGCATCTGCTGTACAGTCTTAGGACGTTCTGTGTGCAAGGCAGTCATATAATGATTAACTGAGGTGGATTTTTGTCTGCACAGAGCTTACAGCTTACTGGAGGAGATGAATAAGTAACCAGACAGTGCCCAAAAGATGGGATGTTTTGTGATGGTAAAAACAGAAGTGTGTCAAAGAAGACTTCCTCAGGAAGGTGACATCTAATCTAAAACTGCCTTGGAACTGGAAATACTTCCAGTTGGGAGAAGCAGCATGTACAAAGTTCCTGAGGAGAGTGAGTTTGTGGCAAGCTTTGGGAAACTACAAGAAATCTGGTATGCTGGAATTATAGACTTTAATGTGAAGATGGTGGAGGAGAAGCCAGATGATGGAGAACTTGGAAAACTGTTTGGATAGTTTCTAGAGACATTTTCTTCTCGAGACCAAATCTACTTCCAATTACTATTTCAAGTCCTTAAGTGGTTGCCCCCAACATTTTCTTGTCTATTTTAATCTTGCATGCAACTTTTCTCATACACATAACCTCATAAACATTTTAAATAGAAAATTTGGCAAAGATTTATTTGATTTTATTACATATTAAATTAACATATAATTGGTAAATTATTCCTGTTCTTAGATTCAATGGCTGGTTCAGGCAGTATTTTAAAGAGCCCTGCCCTTAAGATTCTCAAAATATGTAACTGGATGTGGCATGTTGTGTTTTTCAAAGATAGTTACAATGATATCTGTTAACCCACACTCTTTTTATAATAGGATTTGACACTCCTCCCAATGAGAGGTCAGCCCTATGTTTCTTCCCCTTGAATTTGGATGGGCTTGTGACTACCGTAGTATTGATACTATGTGATTTTTAAGGCTAAATCATCAAGGGCAAGACTCTTTTGTTTTTTAGGGAACTTGCCTTTGGAGCCCTGAGCTCCCTTTTAAGAAGTCTGCAGCCACCGTGCTGTGAGGAAGCCCAGGTCACATGGAGAGGTCATGTTTTGTAGTTCTGGCCTACAGCCTCAATTGAGTTTCCAGCTAATGGCTAGCATCAACTGACAGACAGGAGTAAATGCACTTCCAGATGACTTCTGGACCCAGCCACTGAGTTCCCCTCAGCCTTTGAGTCCTTGCACTTGATGTTCCCAACCTCATGGAACAGAGATAAGCCAGAGATAGCCACACTATCCCTTCCTAATTCTTGGCCCACAGAATCCATAAGCATAGGACAAAAATGGTGCCACATACTAACCCTGATGTGCTCAGGAGAGACCTGACTGAAAGAAACCACATAGGAAGATCTGAACATAAAAATTCCTGTGGGTCATTGTGGATAGTCATGTCTGAGGCCTAGAACTTCCTTGACAAAGGTTCATCTTTACCTTAACTGAACCTGTCTATTGTCCTTTTAATCAATGATAACATACCTTTGAAATGTTAGAGTAATCCCCTTTTCCAGATCTCTCAGGACATAACTGCTGCACCAGGACAGGAGATCATAGAACCCCTCGTTATTATCTTATACCCTGAATACTATCTCTATATCCATAAATGTTAATTATTAACTATCCTGTACCCACCAATTAAAAGAAGCGTGTGTGTCTCTCAGCTTTACTCTTTATCTAGTCCCAGAGATTTCCCCGCTTTGCTTTCTGTCACATCAATCTATCATCGATCGATTTCATGTAACCTCCTTACCTCTTCTCTTTTGATTCTAATTATAAAATAAGCTACAAAACTGCCATTCTCTGGAGCATTTTCTCAATCCATTGAGATTTTGCTTCCCAGCAATTGTCAGTTTGCCATAATTATACTCATAAAAATTCTCAACAGATTTGGGAAACATTACACCAAGTCAAATAAACACTCTTGACTTGGGAACTTTGCTCCCTTCTTACATAATAGGCTTTGTCCCATGGTGATACACACTCATGACAACAATAGTAAATTGATTGTTTTAGTTGTCTGGAGTTTTGAAAGGCTTTTTGGAGGAGTCTGGGGTGTAGCCCAACCTTGAAAGACTGTTCACTACCCTCAGCCACTTCCTCTTCTAAATAGAACCCTACATTTCTTTTGACAAATCTTTCTTCTCCTGTTCTTGGCCATTCTGTCAGCCCTGTCATGAAGCTGTGATTGGATAAAACCTTAAAGATTGGTTCAGAGCCAACGAGGCTGGACTTCCGGGAAAGAAAAGTTTCCTGTCTTTTGCTTGGAGGCTGCCTGAAGACACTCAGTGTGGTATGAGGCTGTGAGACAACCCTTCTATTTCAAAAGGGGAACCTGGGGCAGTCAGAGGCAGGGTGTGGGCACTGGGTAGAAGCTGACAATGAGGCTTCACCATAGATTGTAGAACAGAGAGACAGGAGGGAGCCAGGGAGAAACCAGGTCATTGGTGACATCATTTGATTTGCTATATAAACCCTTGCTGGAAATTAGTTCTAGCCATAGCCTTTTCAATGTTCTTTATTAGGCAAACTAGTTTTAATGGGATTTTCTATGGCTTACAACAAAAAGACTCATAATGGATAGCAATGTTACCAGTTAAGGTGAAGGATTTCTAATAAAGGAAAAGGGCAAGGATTTCTAAGTGTGTATCACCGTGGGGCAAAGCCTATTATGTAAGAAGGGAGAGAAGTTCCCAAGTTAAAAATATTTGTTCGGTATAATGTTTCCCAAAGTTACATTTTTAGTTGGTCCAATTTTTAGTTGGTCCCATTTTTAGTTAGTTTAAATATGTACAAACCCATTGTATGCCAAGCACTGTGCTGTGTGTTGGCAATAGGACACACAATAAGAGAGTGGTGGTCCCTGCCTTTGTGGAACTTGATTCTAGTGGGAACTAGACTTATAGGGGTTGTAAATGGGATGGATGGGGTATGGGATGAATGAGGTACAGGAGGAATGAAAGAGGTGCTGGAAACTACAACAAGGCCTCACTTAGGCTGGGGGCAGGGAGTGAAGGTAGTCTTCCCTGAGAAAGTGAAGTGATTAAACAGGGCCTAAAAGACACATATTTTTTAGACTATAAGATGCACTTTTCCACCCCTCAAGTTTGGGAGGAATAATGGTTATTAATGGTGCTGTTGAGTTCTGTTTACATTTACATTGATGGAATATTATGTTATTTATGTTATTAAATATTTTACCACATTTTTTTGCTTCAAAATTTTTTTACCTATTTTCTTCCTCTAAAACCTAGGGGTGTCTTATGGTCCAAAAAATACGGTAAGTAAAGATTTTAGTTAGTGGGGGAGGAACTAAGAGGGAATATTCTAGGCAGAGAGAGCAGTATATCTTTGGCTACAGGACTTCTATGGGCTTTAAAAGTATAAATGCATTGTGAACCCCAAGAGGAGCTGAGGTATGCAGCATTCACCAAGCTTGTTGACATGGAGCTCTCCTTTATTAGAGGAGTGAGCACCTTGTAGGACTTAGAAAAATGGATATAGCTTCAGGAATAAACAGTAGTATTCTAGGGGCAAAGGGAACATGATCCTGATCAGGTAGAGGCTTATGTATGAGAATAGAGGGAGATAGATAGATGATCCCTGGGTGGGTAGATGTACAGATAGATGATGGAAAGACAGAAAAATATTAGACATGCCCAGAACATTCAGGATAGGAGGGCTTTGAATGTCAGCATAAATAGTTTTTTAGTGTCTGAGCAGATTCGTAGCTGAGGTTGTATGCAAGAAGTTTGGGTTTGGAGTGAACCAGGCATGAAGTGGTACAATTCTAGACTAAAGTGAGGAGTAGGGGCAGAGAAAGGAATAAATTCAGGAAATACCACAGGAGAGGAACAGGCAATTATTAGTAATAGAAATCTAGAGTGAAGAGAAGAGCAGCAGGAGGCGAAGTTTAGAGACCAGGTTTCAGGAGGAAGAGGATCTCTACAAAAGAAAAAAAGGAAAACGCTTTCTCTCTAACAATCACTAGTTTACTGCACAGTGGCAGAAAAATTTCAAGTCTCTGAGTGCCTAAGCATTTGCCAAATCATCAGCAGCGCTGGTAAACCTGGAACATCAGGGAGAACAGTAAAAAATTATGGTAAATAGAGGCTTGGAAATTTTCAGTGGGTTTTAATCATCAGTGTCATTCATCACTGCGTCCCCCCAAGAGCTATGTCTATTTTTGTTCATAGTGATCCACATGTGGGACATCATTTCCCTCAAACCTGTGCAGCCATGTTTTATTAAGAGGAAAGAGTGATAAAAATTTCCTATCAGGTCAGGATGTGATAACAGAAAAAAAAGAGAAGGTGCTTGGGAAAAAAAATAACTCAGTAGTATACCATTCATCAATTTCTCCCTCTCCCTCCTTCATCTCCCCTGACCTACTACCCTGAAACAGCCATGATGGGAAAAGCAGGCACAAATAGCATTCTACGAGGCGGCATTCTCACAGAGCAGCACTGTGATGAATGTAGTGACACTTTTATCCCTTAATTACCACTTGTGCCATGGAAATCCATGTACTCCCCTCTGTTAGAGTCAGGATCTGCCATGCAGGCTCCCTGGAGATCACAACGAGATGCCCATTGCAGTCTGCTCCCACTTCTGAAAGACTCCTTCAGAAATCCATGACCATATATATAATCCATGACCAGTAAATATAATTACTATTCCCTAGTAATTATATTATGGGTCAAGTGCCACTCTTGACCAGAACATTTCCTCTGGTCATCCTTTGTCCTCTTATAAAAGGTGCTGTGAATGAATCACCACCCAGAAACCTGATTCATGGCCCAGTGTTCCCTGTTGGGCCAGACTAGTGAGGGGGACAGACCTGGAACAAGTAACACCACAACTCATCAGCTTGTTGTGAGGTCTATGTGGGCTCCAACAAGGATGGGGATATAGGGAGGGAGGCATCATTTGACTCTTGGGATTAAGGAAGGCGTCAAGAGGAGGTGACATTTGACCTTGAAGAATGCGTAGGCTTTTGAGAGGTAGAGAAAGTTATCGAGGCAGACAGAACAGCATGAGCTTATGACCTTATTAGAGGAAAAAATTAACAGGGAAAACCATGGCCTCTGATATTAATGAGTAGTGTGGCCTTAGGCATTGTAAATGTCATGTTTACTTCTTTATGAATAACAATATAATAGGGAAATTCTAATGAGTGTTACTAGTGCAGGACACCCTGCTAATTTTCTCTTTTAACTCTCTACAGCCTAATGAGGCAGTAAATGGTATTACTTTCCTTTTACAGATGAGGAGGCTGAGATAGAGAATTTCAGTAATGTGCTGGAGGCCACAGAGCTGGGACCCCTCCAGCCAGGCCTGCCTGCCCTCCAGCCCAGGCCCCACTCCCTCTCTTACAGGTGTGGAGTATGGTAGTGTGCAAGAATTTCCAAACCTAGCTGCACTCTTTGAATACACAGATTTTCAGTCCCAGAAAAGTGATTCAGTGGGGGAGAGGCCAATACTTGGTACTTTTAGAGACTTCCTGGGTGAGTCTGATGGGAAACAATGACATAGGAGCTATGTGCCTTGCAGGGTGGTTTCTGTCTAAAACCACCTCCAGAGCTCTGC